CTCTACAAATGTCTGTGTCGATGGCTATATTAGGAAATTCCACTATAATTCAAGAACAATTTAATTTATCCCAGTAGACAAATAATTTTACATTGTAATTCAAATCAATAAATGATTCAGTTTGCACTATAAAAGTGTAAATAGAGTTCTTGCAAAAGATTGCTCACTGTCCTTTCTTGCTATAAACCATTTGATATTTAGCCAAGAAGTATACAGCCAACAAGATCAACTGCTTGCCTCCCTTAGTACACAGTGTAGACTGTTACCCAACAAATTAATCATTAGTCATCAAATTAATTGCAAAGACAACAAAATAAAAGTGTCCTAAATCATCATCCATTTCACCAGTCATTGGTAAATTTAACCTCAGGTAGTATATGCTCCTTTCCCCTTGTTACAAAACTGGTCTGAGTTTTCTAGATACTTGGCTATTAGTTATGTTGCCAGACTTTTCCAATTCCTCCCTCAAACTCCCAACCTCTTAGAACAAACCATTTTCTCTCCTATCAGTAATTAAAGACAATAGCCCTAAATCCAGAGTTCAGGTGTTTATTACAAACCAGAAAGAGTAACTAGGGTAGAAATCTCACAAATCCAGTCACCCAGGCAGCAAACAAAGGGTGCAGAAAAGTCTGATTTTGCTTTTCTTTGTTTGGATTTCATTTCTATCTTTCAACCTAATTGCATCAAATGATGTTAGCTCAGGATTTTTCCCCCACTCCCCTGTTTCCAGAATTGTCTCAAACTTCAAAAGACCACATAGCATTAAGGAGAGGGGAACAGAACAAGTGTCTTGCCCTGGTGCTTACTCCTCATCATCTGTTCACGATGGATTCTATTACTGTATTGCCAGTTTGATGGTTTTGATTGTCAGTTCACACAGGTGCTGCCTGAACCCTGGATCCTAATTAATCTGGGTCCCCAAACTTTCTAGGCCAGTTGTTTTTCACTGTGATGTTCTCAGCAATCTCAGTATCCCTTAGGATATTCTGTTGAGCCTTCCTCCATAGGAAGGGTCACAGAAATGCAGATTGGGATCCCCTCGTGCTCTGTTAATATGTAGAGCCACTGTAGAGCTTTGATGCCACCTAAGACTTTCTGAGCTTGGACTTTTCAACTCACCCCAAGAACACAGCTCAAAGAAAGGGGGAACTCAAGTCCTTCTATGGGGCACCGCGATAACTACTGAGGCTTAGTGTTCCATACTGTTCTCCTTATAGCAGGGAACTCAGATGTTTTCCATGAAGAAACATTATCAGTTTTACTCAGTTGTAGTTTTTCGTGTCTTGCTTAAGTTGAGATCTTGGCTTTGAAACTAAAAGGAAAAAACGTATTTCTCTTAACATAGCTTTCCCATCAACTCTACCTAAGAGACACTGTTAATATGCTAAGGTATGATTGAGGCCACAGTGGAGGGAAGAATCATTTGTAATATGGCAGAGGGTAATTGACACTTTGATGATAACCGTGATAAAGTTGTACCCTTAAAGCATATTAATACTTATAAGAAGGAAAGAGAGAAAGAAGGAAAGAGAGAGAGAGAAAGAGAAAGAAAGAAAGAAAGAAAGAAAGAAAGAAAGAAAGAAAGAAAGGAAGGAAGGAAGAAAGGAAGAAAGGAAGAAAGGAAGAAAGAAAGAAAGAAAGAAAGAAAGAAAGAAAGAAAGAAAGAAAGGAAAAGGAGAGAGTGAGGGAGGAGGAGAAGGCAGCAGATTTTAAAATATCTTTTAAAGAAAATAACTTTAAATAATTCTTTTGTCTCCAAAAAAAGTTCAGGAAAGGAACATAGTTAGAGAATATGTTACTATTTTAAAACAGAATCCTTCAAAAGAACTGAAATCCAAATGTCTCATGAAAAGTCAAGAGGGGGAAAAATGTGCCAAATCTGAAAGTGTGTCTTAGATATGAGGATTATAAACCAGGTATTTCTGGCCCAACACAGAAATACCTCTCATCAGTAGAGCTCTTACCTTGCACGTTTGAACTCTAGGTTCAGTATCAAGCATCACAAAAATAAAAGAATTAATTTTTATGGTGAATAAAAATAGTTTGGTCCCACTCTTTTTGTTTATTTTTTGTTCCTGGGATCAAACCCAGAGCCTCACACATGCATAGCAATTGTTCTGAGACATGTCCCCCTGCCCAAAACTTGTTTTGTTTTTGTGTCACATCCAATTTTGCTTGGTTGAGTAGTAAAGAATAAATCTAGGCTCTCATATACAAAGCAAATACTGTATCTTTTGGAGCCATCTTCCCAGCCCTCCAAGGAGTTTGGGATCTAAGTGGGGGAAAGTTGTAGAGCTGGGATCTTGACAATAATTATCACCAACGAAGACAGAAAATGGCAGAGCCCAGCAAGCTACATGTGACGTATTTGATATGCCAAAAACAGTAACAATAACAGGTCTCATTTCCCTGACCCTGAAAGAGCCCCCATACACCATTGGGCTACAGTAGCATGTGACAGGGATGAATGGAAACATTACTGGCGCCTGCTCAAGCAAATCATTGAACAATGGGATGACAAGTGATACAAGAAGAGACAGGAAGACATCTCCTCCTATAGCCATAAAAAAAAGGATAAATTCCAGGATAAAGGACAACCATGATCAACTCCCAAGATACAATGACAGATGTAAATTTTGAATAGAATTGTACAGGTCAGGGAGTTAAGGACATATTTTTCAATGAATTAGTTTCTGATATGCAAAAGAGTAAGTTCTTTAGTTCAACTATGCCACACAATACAGCATTGTAAACAATTGATTAAAATATACTAACAAGATAGATTTCCTGTTAAATGTTCTTACTAAAAAAACCACACACAAACATACAAATAGAAATATTTTGGAAGTGATGGATTTATTTAGTGCCTTAGTTGTGGTGACGGCATTGCAGATATATACATATGCCCAAATTCATCAAGATGTGTACACTAAATGTGTGAATATTTATCTCAATAAAGCTAAGTTAAAAAAAAGTTTAATTCTATATTTTAGGCTGACTTATGCCCCAGGAACATTTATTTAAATGAATTATTGCTACAATAGTTATCATTTACTGGTGACCTTACCCTCCAACAAATGGAAAAATATCTAAGGAATTAATAAATTTGCTCAAAATAAACGACATTCATACATTGGGTTTGCAAACTAGAGTAAGTCACAAACTAAAAACGTTTGCCTCAATATCAATTTCCAGAAAATACCTCAAAACTCAGAAGTTAAAAAATGTCCATGTCATAACATGCAGGGGGGGGAGGGGAGGTAGGGAGGGAGAGGGAGAAAGAAGAAGAAGAAGACAAGGAGGAGGAGGAGGAGGAGGAGGTGGAGGAGGAGGAGGAGGAGGAGGAGGAAGGAAGGAAGGAAGGAAGGAAGGAAGGAAGGAAGGAAGGAAGGAAGGAAGGAAGGAAGGAAGGAAGGGAAAAGAGGTGTCTTCCATAGAGGCAGGCTGGGGGAAGAGGAGAGGGTGGAAATGAGGAAAACTGGGGACACTGGTGGTGGGAAATGTATACTAGTGAGTTACTGAGGAGTTGAGTGTTGTAACATTGTAGACTGATGCCCAATCATGGACAACTGTGTATTCAATAAAAAAAGAAAGAAGAGGAAAGGAAAGGAAAGGAAAGGAAAGGAAAGGAAAGGAAAGGAAAGGAAAGGAAAGGAAAGGAAAGGAAAGGAAAGGAAAGGAAAGGAAAGGTGGGGCCAGAGTTGGTTGTTTGCCTTGCATACAGCTAACCAGAGTTTGATCCCTGGCATCCCTTATAGTTCCCTGAGCACCACTAGGAGTAAGGAGTAATTCCCAAGTACAGAGCCAGGAGTAACCCTGAGCATCGCTGGGTATGATCCAAGAAAAGAAAAAAAAAGAAAAAAAAGAAAAAAAGAAAAGAAAAGAAAAGATGTTTAACCCAGAGATTCCTAGCCAGATACATACTATGAGCCAATAAACCATCAAGTCTTTTTTTTCTTTTTTCTTTTTAAATTGAATACCCATGAGATGGTTACAAAGCACGTTTGAGTTTGAGTTTCAATCATACATTGATTGAACACCCATTCCCTCCACCAGTGCACATTTTCCACCACCAATGTCCCCAGTATCCCTCCTGCTACCTCCACCCGACCCCATCTGCTGCCTCTATGGTAATTTCCTTCTTACTCTCTCTACTTTGGTGCATTATGGTTTGCAATACAGATACTGAGAGGCTATCATGTTTGGTCCTATATCTACTTACAGCACACATCTCCCATCATGAGCGATCCCTCCAACCATCATGGACACAGTGGTCCCTTTTACCAAGAGTCTCTATTGCAGATCTGCCCTCATGTCAGGATCTCTCCTTTGATATAAGGTCTGCAATAAAGACTCTTGATGTCTCTCATGTCCACCTCTCTAGTGCTGAGCTAATAATTTATACAAAAGCAGGGTGTCCCCATTATATTACCCAACTTAGGAAAGTCTGAAAAATAATATAGTCTTAATGATAATTGTTGAGACTAAATGAAGTTGTAGACAATATTAGAGGATTGGGCTAGGAGTTGATGCTCCGAAGTCCATCTGGAGACAAGTTGCTGAAAGAGACCCTTCAGAAAGCAAAAAGTCTTTCAAGACCACCTCACAGACAGCAAGACTAGTAAAATTCTGCCTTCTATAGAATCCACATTTCAGGCCCATACTCCCCATTTATCCACAAGGGGTAATAAACTTAAGATGGAGGCTGTCCAGGAGAGCACGAGGCTGTCCAGGAGAGCACAGAACTTAAATTTGCTAACGCCTTTTAGATCTGAAAATAGGATGGAAGAGGAAGCCTGTAAAATATAAAGGGAGGGTAGAAAGCTCCAAGGACACACTTCAGCTCTTTCATTATTTTGTAAGAGCTGAGCTGGAGCAGAACATTGACACAGCACTCCCCAGAAGAACAATGAACATAAAACAAGCATGTCTCACAGCGTTTCCTCTGTTTGGACCTCCGGCTTTATAGACCTAATGAGACACCTTGTGTTTTTCAGAACGCCGAAGCGAGTTATGACTTCAGCAGCAACGATCCCTATCCTTACCCTCGATACACAGATGACTGGTTCAACAGGTAAACTGGGCTTCCTCTGCTCTGCCTTTTGCTTTCAGTTTAGGGTTTTTGTTTAGCTTTACTTTTAGGGTTTCAATACCACCAGCAAGATAATCTCAGTGCTTCACCAAATTATGGCTTTATTTCTTTGTTACTACACTTTAGAATATCCTGAGTTTTTTATTACTACAGCAATTCATCTCTATAATTATTTTTAAAATTACTACTTTATCAAAGATAAAAGAAAGCATTAAAAATTATTTAAAAACCATAAAAAGTTGATTTAGAGCAGGCTGATTTCACTTGATCTGTTGAAACTATTATGGAATCTTCTAGGGGAAAATATTTCTGAAAAGTCTCTGTGCTAAAGCCTTACAAAGTTTGCATTGTATCTCAAGAAAACAGTAAGTAAAATTGGCAGAGGTTTGAAGAATTGCATCTTACCATGTTAATCTCCCCACCATCACCACAAACACACACACACACATACACACACACACACACACACACACAACTGTCCATCCAGAAGGGCAACTGCTTCAACCAATTTTCTTCCAGTGGAAATGCAATCTTTTCCCCTACAACAAAGATTCTTGTCTAAATTCCTAATTCCATGTTAAGAAGCAAAGCCAAGAAACAGACAAACCCATACCCAAACTACTGAATTCTGACTTTGTAACCAAAATTACTAGAGAGTGTAGATGCAGTAAGATCAAAGGATGTGTAAAGATCTCAGTGAACCATGGTGGGGATATGAAAGTTTGATGATGCCATGGTATGGTGACCTATGTTTTAAAAAAAACATACCTGTACTCCTGAAACTATACAGCATTTTCAACAACATTCCTTGGCTTAAAAGCAAAAACAAAAGAGTAGGAAATAAATTAATGGTAGATTCCATATGAGAAATATCAAAAAGCAATCATATATGGCATATTCATTGAAAATCAACTAGATTTTTCCCACCGTGGAGGTTTCCCTAGAAGTTCTCATGAAACCCAGAAATCACACTGGGGATATTTGGCCAACCAGACCAGATAGTCCAATGCTATGGCTCAGAGACCCCCTTAGGGGGTCTCCAGGGCTATATCCAGTGGTAATAGAGATCCCGGTAATGCTGAGGTCAGAAGGATTATCTCCCAAGCCCCTCAACTAGGTTTTAAACCTAATTTGGTTTTTAAATTTAGTGTTCCTGTATGATTAATCTTCTTGGAAGAAGTTCATGAGAACAAATGGATCTCAATTAATGCTATGAAAATATACTGTGTACCAGGACCATCTGAGTCACAGATATCTGTCTTTACTCTTAGAGTCTCTATAATAATGATTGGTATTCAATGGTTTATTTTGCATAGATGTGAACATTTATAATTAGAACAAGGAACACAGTTTACATTATCTACATCAGGGCCTACCACAGTGTGTACTCTGAATGTTCTCGAAAAAATATCTTATTATCTGAATCATAATACCAAGTCATTTGATGTTGATTATTCTCAAATACTGAAACTTTCTGGTCATTCTAGAGTATTCTAAGATTTAAATAGGAATAACTCTGAATAAATTTTAGGACACAATCCAACATAATAGTTATTCTTTGAAACATTGAATAATTACAAGTTACAACATAAAATAGAATATAACTCCTACAAGTCAAAAATAATGCTAATATTTTATAAAGCATTTGAAATAGTACATATTAAGGCTAAATATCATAATAACAGCTGAAAAATCACAATAACATTTCAGTTCATAAGTTACTATTAATAAAAATTAATTTATTGTGTATAGAGCACATAACTAACTCATTTCTTTACCATTGTACATGATAGACAAATGTCATTCTCAGTACGGTGACAAGACTCAGAATTGTTGAATGATGTCCTTAATAAAACAATTCTTCTAGGTCAAAGCCAACACTCAAATACAAGCTTCATAAATGTTTCTAAGTTCAGAGTATACCATTATTTCATCAGCGTCAATTTTCTTACAAGATACAGGAGGCATGATGATCAGAGAATAGCTCAGGACAAGTTCCAAGGAGTACTGAATCTATCCCAACAGATAGCAAGCTCACCTGAGGATGTCAAGAGTAGAAAACTGAGGTTGGGTTCTTGTAATTTTTTTATTTTATTTTTATAAAGTTGTTCACAATAGTTCATTACAGTTAATAATCAAACACAAATCCCACCACGGTGCACTTCCCCACCACCATAAAAGGAAAGTGTGTGAAGATTGTTGTATTTCATCCTGGGACTATTTAGGTCCTTGTATAAGAGATTACAAACATGTATGTTAAAAAACCCAAACAAATGTGTGCTACTTTTGTTACATCACTGGGCTAGAGTATAAGAGATTGCATGGCCAAGGATGCAGCTGCACGACCAGGACGTTCTGTGTAGTTCTCTTCCGGGAGCTTTATTTCATAGTCTCTGGATCTTGGCCATTGATGAGAATATATGGTGGTGGAGGCTGTTTGTGGGCGTGAGTGTCAAGCTACTGGAAAACTGAGGAGCTGGGGGGAGGAGGCCCAGTCCCATTTCAAATGAGCTTGGAAATCTCAGTAACCGGTCCCACATACCTGGGTTTTTCAGCAGATTCACTTATGGATGAGGCTTGTCCGAGCCTATGAAGAGTGGCCTTTAGCATGGCTGCGGTCGGGTTCTGGAGGTTTTCAGCTGCCAGGGTTCTGCTAGGGCAGGGAAGGAAACTCAATCCGCCCTCCTCCAAGTTGCCCCGGTGAGGACAGCCTGGCATGGGGTCAGGACCTGTAAATTATTTTTTAAGTGCAGCAAAAAAGGAGAAAATTATCATTCAACTTGGTATGTAAGGTTTTTACACAAGCCACAACCAGCTGTGCTCAGAGCTTACTCCTGGTTCTGAGCTCCTGGCAGTGTTTGGGGGGACCCTGAATGATGCCAGGATTGAAACCTGAGACCGCATCATGCGAAGCAAACACCTTATTTGAGGCACTATCTCTCTGGCTGCATATGAACATTTTTAAAACATCGTTGCTTAAGGTAGTTACACAGTTCTTTCTATCAACTGTAGCTTTAAAATTTTCATGCAATGTCTGAACCTATGCCTTTTATGCACTTAAGAGATCTGAGAACTTTCAAGATAAGGTGTCTTTTATTTTCATGACTTATAACTCCAGATACATGCATTTTCTTAGCAAATGAGCCATTTTCAGGCACAGTTATCATGTAGATACCACAAAGCCAGTGGGAGAGGTATTTAGAACTGTCTGTCTGAAACACTCAGTTGAGGAGAATCATAAGCAGGTGCCTGGCATCTGCTACCAACTCTCTACATGGTAACAGAAAGGGCAGTAGCAACACGAGTGCCAGGAAATTGCCATGTCTCTATGGTTAGTAGTTATTGATTTAAATCTGATAGATTGATCTGTGCAAAAAAATAATATAGCAATGTGGGTGCCAGGTAATTGTCATATCTCTGTAGTTGGTAGATATCGATTTGAGATCTAATAGATTGATCCATGCAAAAAAAAGTATAATCAACTGTATGATTCTCCCTGTTTTTCTGAACCCAAAGACCTTTACAAAGCATGTATTCTTGTGTAATGTGCTATAAGAATACTATTGCTTTTTTGTGTTGTATTGTTTTGGGGGCCTAGCTCAACAGTACTCAGGGGGCTCTTACTCAGATAGTGTTGAATGGTTGCTCCCAGGGCCTAATGATAGAGACATAAACTGGGGCTCTTCATGCAAAGTGTGCACTGCAGTCCATTAAGCTATTTCTCTAGCCAAGAATATTCTTTTTGCAAAAATACTCCTCTGTCTTAATTTATTTTTGCAAACTCATTGTTAAAGTATAATTTTAATTGGCTAAAATCCTTTAGCTGAGACTAATTAGCTTTTAGTGTAATGAAATTCTTCATTGTCAGGTAAAACTTCCCAAGAGTCCAATTGCCTGAGACACAGTCATAGTGAGTCAGGAAAGCGTGATCCTTACCTCTTAGGGAGTCAGTGACTCAAGACGCAGTGTCCATTTGGATCAAATGTAAATGGGAATTTTCCTAGTTATTTAGTCATCTTCAAAGATCCCAACCCACCTTGGCTCATTTGGACAGAGACTATATGGTGCTACAAATCAAATCATGGCCTCAAAAAAACCCTACAATTTTAATGATTGTGGGATGAAAGTGAATCAAAGTTGAATCTCTGGGAGGACTCTGGGAGGATCATGATCTGAAAGATTGGCTCTACGTCAGAGATGGTTCCTGCTTGATCCTAGGAGAAGATGCCCTTCCCATGAGTATACAATGTATTTATTTCAACTTCCCCATGGGAATAGTATACCTGGTATTTCCTTTAATAATATTCAAAGGAAGGAGGAAAATTACTGAAGATGTAGAGGAAATAAAATGAATCTGTAGCACTGTAGCACTGTCATCCCATTGTTCATTGATTTGCTCAAGCAGGCACCAGTAACAACTCCATTTGTCCCTTTTGCATGCTGGTGTAGCCCAGTGGCATCTGCTTGCTCCAGGAACATGAAGTAAGACTTGTTGTTACTGTTTTTGGCATAATGAATACAACATGGGTAGCTTCCCAGGCTCCGCCATGCAGGGGGGATACTCTCGGTAGATTGCCAGGCTCTCTGAGAGGGATGGAGGAATCGAACCTGGGATGGCTGTGTGCAGGCAAACACCCTACCTGCTGTGCTATCGCTCCAGCCCCCCAAAAAAGAATCAAGAGTTAATAAATATAAAAAGTAGATGATGTATTTCATTTGGCTTTTTATTTTCTTGATCACTGTATTGCTGTCATCCCATTGTTCATCTATTTACTTGAGTGGCGCCAATAACATCTCCACTCATCTCAGCCAAGAGATTTTAGCAGCCTCTACTTACTCGCCTTTCCCAATGCTGCCATATTGGAGGCTCTTTTATGGGGTCATGAGAATGAGACCCATTATTGTTACTGTTTTTGACATATCAAACACGCCACAGGTAGCTTGCCAGGCTCTGCCGTGTGGGAGGGATACTCTCGGTAGCT